ATATATATATATATATATATATATATATATATATATATATTATGTAAAAAAAAATGTGATTTTAATCACACACCTTGAATCAATTGTTGGAATCATATTTTATACTTATACTTATTGTTGTTGTTGTTATATTAAGAACTATTTAAATTAAGTTAAACAATTGTTCTTCTAATGTTTCGATTTGTGAAGAAAAACTTTAATTTTCTCGTAAATGTGGACAAATTTTTTTAAGTTCTCCAATATTTTTTCCTTCTTAAGAAGTGTTTTTAAATTTTTTATAAAATATTTTTTTATAATTCTTTAATTAATATTAGACATATAGACTAACAGTGTTCCTGCTTAAATTAATGGTTTAGGAAAAATACCGATTGTACCAGTTGGCACCCACCTTTGACTCGGTCAAAGGTCGAACACACAACTTCATTTTTGATGAATGGATGATTGATTGAGATGGAAGGTTCCTTTGGGGCTTGATTGGGATGCATGTATAGTATAGATTTTATTCTGTACTTGTATGATTGTTTTTGAACTCTAGCTTACCCTTCTGTTTCCATGTGGTGGGACTGCAATGATCATACTTGGTATGGGAGCAGGTCAGGGATAGCTTAGAGTAGAGGTGTCCGCTGCGAGACGGAGAGTTTGAGCCTCGTGTTAGAGTTACAATTTTTTTTTGGTAACGATTTTGCCTGTGCTTGACCGGCACTAGGGAATATTTTGGGATGACTGTACATATATGGTGTTTTATTTTGTATACAGAAACTTAGTAATTTTGATCCTTATATCTATGCTTGTATGTATGAGTTATCTAGTTTAATATTCTCTTAGTTAACTAGTTGTAGTGCGATTCCACTAAGTGTAGAGACCATGGCAGGTCGTTACACTTTTATGGTATCAGAGCCGGTCGAGTCTTTTGGATACTCTATGGGGAGTGATCCTTCTAGGTTTCTGTTGTGTCATATCTCTGATATGTGTTAGTTTTGGTGATATATGGTGGTATGATGTTACTAATAAGATGTTTGAATTCTTGTAGTATGGTGAGGCCACAGTATGATCAGATAGCTAGGGCCATGGAGATGATGGCCATGGCGATGCAGTAGCAGACTGCACATTTTGCTAGGGTGGATGCGAGAGAGTTGCAGCTGGTGCAGTAGGATCTAGTGGGTCTCATGCGAGTAGGGATATGGTTGAGTTTAGGAAGTGTAGTCCTCCTCAGTTTAGAGGTGATGCAGATCCGGATGTGGCTGATCACTGGATTTGCGAGTTGGAGAAGATATTCTCAGTTTTAGGTTGTTCAGAGGAGCGAAAGCTTGCTTATGCAGTGTATATGTTGACAGGAGAGACAGAGTATTGGTGGAGAGGTATTAGTCAGATGATGTTTGACCGTGGAGTGGTTGTGGACTGGGTGTGCTTCAAGAGGGCCTTCCTCGAGAAGTACTTCCCAGAGAGTGTCAGGCATGCTCGGGAGGCAGAGTTTATGAGATTACAACAGGGGAAATGTCGGTGACCGAATATGCCATGAGATTCGAGCATTTGGCACGCTTCTACACCCAAGCCATCTCTGACGCTTGGAAGTGTAGGAAGTTTGCTGAAAGCTTGAAGTATGATTTGAGGAGGGTGGTGGTGCCTATGGCCATCACAGAGTTTCCAGCCTTGGTAGAGAAGGCGAAGGTTGTGGAGCGGCTAGAGAGCGTCGGCAAGTCAACGAAGACTGTTGGTGGGCCAGTTAGGTCCAAGAGTTGTAGTGGTTCTCAGAGAAAGCCTTATGATAGGCCCCAATCTCAGCAAGGGGGTCCTATCACAAGGAAACCTACTAACATAGCTAGGAGTGGGGGTCAGAGTGGAGCTGCTACTCTCAGATGTTATAGATGTGGAGGAGCTCACACAATCAGAGAATGTTCCCATCCGGGGAATGTTTGCTTCAGATGTGGCAGGCCAGGTCACATCTCTAGAGATTGTCAGACACCGTCGACTTTATCTGGGAGTGCCCCGAGGCCACCCAGGCCTACAGCTGCGGGAAGAGTGTTTGCATTGTCAGGTGCAGAGGCTTCCACTTCATTAGACTTGGTGAAAGGGAAAGGGAAGGCAGCAGGTGAGGATTTTTTATTTTTGTTCGACTCTAGTGCCACCCATTCTTTCATTTCTGTTGATTGTGTGGAGAGATTGGGTTTGTCAGTATCTACATTGCATGTTGATTTGTCTATGTCTACTCTGGCTTTAGTTTCTATGGTGACGTCAGAGATGTGTGTGAGATGCCCGATAGAGGTGTTTGGTAGGAGGTTTCGAGTGAACCTGATTGTGTTGCCTATGGTGGATATCGACATAATCATAGGGATGGATTGGTTATCTGCCCATCACATCCTTATAGATTGTGCTCGAAGAGAGTTGGTATTTCCTCAGTTGGAGGATGGGGTGTTGGTATCAGCGGGTCAGGCTGAGCAGTTGATGAGGGATGGGCTGAGTGTTTCATGTTGTTTTCTGCTTTGAGTGTTGAGACAGAGAGGGCCATCACTGGGATTGAGATTGTTAGTGAGTTTCCTGAGGTGTTCCCAGATGATGTGTCGGGATTGCCACCTATGCGTGATGTTGAGTTTAGCATTGATCTAGTACCCGGTGTAGGACCAATATCAGTGGCTCCTTATAGGATGGCTCCAGCTGAGTTGGTAGAGCTGAAGAAACAGATTGAGGATTTGTTGGAAAAATAGATGGTGAGGCCCAGTGTTTCTC